GGACACCAGCTGGCTGCATTTATTTATATCACAGGGTGTTACAGTTGTCGGCTCTGCAGCTGAGAAATTGGATTGGTTCTAAGGGAAGGGGACAGAAATCAGCTTTGTCCATGGCCCTGGCACCTACTGCCACTGTTCAAAGGGTGCCAGGAGACCCAGGGGGCAGGAAGTTAGGAGAGCAAGCTAGGGGAGACACCCTTTGGGCCACTGGAAAAGAAGAAACTGAGTCACTGGCTTGTTTGCATCCAAGTTAGTACAAACATCATCTGTAACACTACCTACGATATTCTGGTCCACCCGGTCAACAGGGCAACTTCCACCACCCAAAGCAGAGTGGCACAAGGACAACTCAAGCTAAGTCCTTTGAAAGAGAGTGATCTAGGGCTCCAGTCTCAGTGTGATATGGGTACATAAGTTGGATTCAGTCAACAGAAGCAAGATCACCCCCATTGCTTAAATGGAGATCCAGCGGCAGTTTTGGTTTAAAAGGGAATTAATAGAAATGATTGCTAACAGGAATGGAGGGGAGGTGCTAGTTCCACACCCCCCAGAGCACGCACACATACTTCTGAGGTGTGCACTTGGGGTCCTGTAACACCGAAAACCGTCAGCTCTGCCACCTGCAGTATCCATACCCCTTCTAACACATTCTTCTCAGCTCCTAACCCTACACACCACACACCCTTTCATGTGTAAAATGGGTAATTAACATAAAGAAATTAAATCACAAAATACTGAATTAAGATACTAAGGAGTAATTTCTTCTCAAGGAGAAAGGGATAAGATACAAGGCTTACTTAACATTTGTCCTCTATCCTTTCAAAGTTTCAGTATATTATTTTTCCCTTTCCTGTCTGTCATTTACTTTCCTCATCCATTTTGACTATTTGTGACTTTTTAAGTCACCTTCATGTAAGCTTCCATTCTCTTCCATTGCACTATAGAAGCCCTTTGGTGACTCCAAATCTCCTATGCCTGAATAAATTAATGTCTCTAAAGTACCTACTTTAGCTTCACTGGCACTTTGGTAAATGAAAATACAACATGCCTTAAAACCCCCATCCTCTCTGACCCAGCAATTCCAAGCCTAGGGATTTCTTTGAAGGAAATAATTAAGGATGTCCGCAAGGATTCAGTTAGAAGGATGTTTGTCCCAGCTGTTGTTTATAATTGTGAATAATTGGAAACAACCTACACATCCCTCAAGTGGGGCTAGAAGATCCAGGGCTCAGGGACTGCCTGGGAGGAGAGACCAACAATCAGTCGCTAAGTCGATCTCCAATGTTGAAAGTTAAGGTAGAGATCCAGGGTAATCCAGATTTCCCAGGGCCTGAACCTATCAATTTTGGGAGGCTACATTTAAGAAAATAACAAGTAATTTATAAGCACAAAATTAGGCACACAGCCTTGGTCGGGGCCGGTGCAGTTGAGGAGCTTGTGCCTTAAGCTTCATCAGCCTCATGATAAATCAGCCTCTAGTATAGAGACAAGGCCACCAGTTTCCAAGTCTGCACTATAGAGAACAGCATTCGAGCTCTAAGGAAGAGACAGATTGTTAGAGGGGAAGAAAGGAGAGAAAAAGGATAGAGAGGAAAATACTTGAGAGAAGAAGTAAGGAGATAGAAAGCAAGGAGATAAGCAAAAACTAGGACAAAATAGAAGGCACTGGTGAGCTCTGGTGGTGTGGTACCTAAGGCATTTGACTGCTAACCCAAAGGTTTGAGGTTCAAACCCACTAGCTGCTCAATGGAAGGAAGATGGGGCAATGTACTGCCATAAAGATTTTCTGCCTTGGAACCCCAAAAGGGGTCACTATGAGTATGGTGGTTAAGTTTGTGTGTCAACTGGGCTGGGCCTGGTTGAGTGGCTGGGCAGCTGGTGGTAGTTATTCCCCATGATGAGACTGCTATACTAATCAGCTCCATAGTGGGATCTACCACAAGCAGCTGAGTAGCTGCGGTTGTGTATGTGGTCTGCTTTCCATATATAAGAAACAGCTTTGGCAATGGTCTCTAGCTTATGGAATGCTTGAACCCTGCACATAGCCATGTCGTTGTTCGGCAGCCTACTATGCTCTGCTGACCTTTCAACTTTCAGTGGACTTGAACTGATGGCCTACCGTGTGGCTTAGTGACATCGGAACTGTGTCACTTTATTTGTCGACTTTGAGCTTGTTAGCCTCAGCAGCCAGTAGCTGCCTGAGTGAAGAGATGCCTCTAGCGTCAGTGGGCTGGGAGCAAGAGGCAGAGCTGAAGCCCAAGGTCAAGGGGCTTTCGCACAGCCCCTAGAGCCTGGCACTTGGAACTTGGACTTAAAACCTCCAAAATTGTAAGAGAATGAATTCCTATTCATTCAACCATCCCATGTGTGGTATATTCTTGTCAGAGCAGCACTAGGTAACCAGAAGTATGAGTCAGAACAACTCTATGGTAGTAAGTCAGTGATTCAGTGATAGAATTCTTGCCTTCCGTGTGGGAGACCCAGGTTCAATTCCCAGCAACGCATCTCATGTGCAGCCCCCATCCTTCTGTCAGGGAAGGCATGCATGTTGCTATGATGCCAAACACGTTTCAGTGGAGCTTCTAGGCTAAGACAAACTAAGAAGAAAGACCTGACAATCCACTTTCAAAAATCAGCCAAATAAAAACGATATGGTCACAAGAGTCCAATCCACAAGTGACCGTGGAGATGGTGCAAGCCTGGGCAGCGTTTTGTCCTGTTGTGCAAAGAGTCACCAGAAGTATGGGGTCCCCATGAATTGGGGGCCAACTCTCTGGCAGCTAATAAAAACAACAAAATGAAATTAAGGCAATGGAGGGGGAAAACCAGAGAAAGATTTGTTTCTGAAAGATTTCAGTACTGTTTAGGGGTAACTGAAGAAGTATGGGGAAGAACACTTCAATGCAAAGAGCAGCTGGGTCAGTATCAAGCAGGGAGGGCACTTTTAAGACGAGAATCCCAGCTGGCTAGGTGTCATGGACACCTGAAATACATGTCCCACACACCAGTGGCCCTGCACAAAGCCATGTACCAACACTACTGTCCAGTTCCACAGCTCTCCCCACCCTTTCCCTGGGTGCTAAGTTTAAACCAGATGGTCTTTTCCTGTACATGCCACTTCTATTCAAATAACACAACTTTTTATCAATCTTCTTTTTCAAACCAAGCAGGCTGAACACCTTTTCCATGTCAAATTTCCTCTTGACTCTCTCTAGTCGTTCTCCAGCTGGGGTAGCTTTGACCTTTGGCCTATCTAATCCAGGGCACAAGGTTCTGGCACCTCTCCCTCCAGCAATTAAAGAACTCTGAGCACCACCAACTGCAGCCCCCAGATCCCATCACAATGCTGCCCCACTCACTCTGGGCTCAATTCCTTCACAACCCCTTGCCCAGAGCAGCTTTTCTGTTTTTGACAGCTCTTCCTACATGCTTGGTGCTTGCTTGGTCATCTGGGAGCCCCAAGTGAGATTCCGGGATATGTTCTCCAACTGCTTCTGCCCCTGCTGAGCTCTCTACCAAGTCCAAGCCCTCCACAGGGCCCAAGTCAGATAGAAAAAGTGAAAATGAGTTGGGCCTTACACTCAGCAACCAGGGTAAAGGGCAGGAAGTACTGTGGAACAGAAGCTACACAAGGACTTTTAAAAGCTTATTATCCTGGAAGCAGCTCTCCTAAATGTTTGTTAATGGGCTGGTGGCTCACAGAGTCCCCACTTTTCCAGGAATGCTTGAGTACTCTACTCCACATACCATCCTTTTCCATCAATGTCTGTCCAACTCAGAACAGTTGTTCTCCAGCAGAACTACATGCTACAAGCACAGGCATCAATGACCCCACCCTGCCAACACTCACAGAAACACGTCTGCCACACCAAGGATGCTCACACTGGTGTTCCCACAACAAAACCAACCCTGGACTAGATCTCACCTGGGTCCTCACTGGGGACATGACCTTGAATGAACTCTGGAACTATTCAGAGCCCAACTCTCTCCTTGATGAAGAAGTGGCCTTTGGCATTAGTTTCATTCCCTCTTGTCCTGAAGGAGGGATCAGGGAGATCACCAACCTCACCTTAGTGCTTCTCTGCCGTGTTAGGCACTCAACTCTGTACTATTCAGTTGCTGGGGCTTCAAGGGAAGAGCCCCCAGCCTGTCTTCAGACCCACCCCCTTGGAGGGGTACTCAAGGAGCAACTTGACTCCTTGACCTCATCCTCATCAAAAAGCCTTGCTATGTAAACAGATTTGGCAAGTGCAGAAGCAGGTCCCTCTCCTAAGGCCTCTGGTGCTTGTCTTCAGGTCGGTAGTCCATGGGAGATGAAGTCAGGCTGCCCCTCAAAACACCCACCTCAGCCCAGGCCTTCAGCTCCGTGTCCATAGAGACCCTGGGTGGAGGTGCTGCAGGGGCCTCTTAGTTCCAATGCACGTCCCTAATTCCCTAACACTGGATCTGGGTCCTTAGGGAGCCCCAATTCGACCCACTCGCACCCCTCATCCTATTCACAATCCATTGCCCTCGTATCTCCGGGTCACAGCGCTTCCAGCGCACAACGGCGCTGGAGAGATTTCAAATGCGAGGAGAGGCTACATTGGGGGCCAGCACCTCGAATGCCCCGTCTCCACTGGGCCCTGCGGGATCAGGAAGCTCGCCGGCCCGAGGCTGCCCCTCCCAGAGGAGCCAAGTCACTCAGCGGCGGGCCAAGAGTTCCACAGAATGTGTCTGCAGAGCCGATGAGGCAACTCCAGAGAGCCTCCCCACTCATTCCGGGCTCGAACCCCAAGAAAACCGCCAGCCTTGCTTCCTTTGGGCCCGACCGGATTGTGCGCGGGGCCGGGGACCCGGCGCCCTGTCTCCTCCCCGTTTCCCCCGTGGCCAAGCCGCGCGCAGCCGAGACATTTAAATCGCCCCCTCGGGACGGCGGCGTGGAAGAGGCCGGAAAAGCGGCGGCGGCTGGCCCGGGGGCGACGGCCGGGCCGGGGTTGGGGCGCCAGGAGGGCACTCACCAGCGCGTGTTGTCGTGGAAATGCTCCAGCACCGCGTAGCCGAAGAAGGAGCCGTCAGGGCCCTGGAAGCGCACTGGGCGCTGCGGGTCCAGGTTGTAGGCGCCCGCGGGAATCGCCGCGGCCACCAGCGCCAGGAGCAGCGCGCGGAGCCCCC